ATAAATTTGTTGAAATCAGAGAGTTCAATATTTATATGAAATAACAAATATAAAATATAAAATTTCATAGTAAATTATATGATATAAAATAAAAATGTAATAATAAATTAAAATTAATATTATTTCTTAAATTAAAATAATTATTATAATAATTTCATAATTTTATAATTAATATTTTTTAAAAATTATATGATTTACATATAAAAATTTAATATACAATTTAAATTATAAAATTTATATTATCAAAATAAAATAATTTATTTCTTAAAAAATTTAGTTAACCGGTTTTGTTATATTTAAATATAAAATTTATATTATTGAAATAATAATGTATAGAAACCGGATTTTAAAAATCGGGTTTATATAGAAATTGTATTTTGAAAATCCGGTTTCTATAAAAACCGGATTTTGATGTACCGGTTTCTATCCGGATTTTTGAGGTCCGTTTTTGATCCTTTTCAATTTTTTTCTACTCTACGATCCTTGTGCGTATTTAGGTATTAAACTTCCTTCTTTTTATAATTTGGCCTTCTCATTTTGTATCAAAGATTTGAGGCTGATGTGCCTTCTTGTGACATTATAAGTTTATTTATAGTGACTTTTTTCAATATTAGCATAGTGAAATATAAGATCCAAATTCTAATAAAATTAGGCAAATTAAATATAAATAGAATATCATTGAAATGCTAAAGCCCAATGCAGGATATGATTGCACACTTCTGTGTTTCTTAATTATCCAATGCTTATTCTTATCCTCCATTATCTTCTATATAAGAATCTCTTTTAAAATTTGAGTCAATTGAGAAATTTCAACATCTAATACTTAAAATATCTTTGAAAACAAAATAAAAAATTATTGTTATAAATTTATCCATATTTAATAGGAAAAAAAAGTTCAAAAAAAATAAAACCCAATTTTTAAAATTCAAATATTTTTATCTTTTAGCCCATCATAGAATTGCATTTCTATCTTTCAAGTTGGTCTATAATTTTTCATGTAGCACACAATTATAAAAATGCTTTTATAAATCAAATTGTTATTTTCATTTGAACCAATACCAAATATTTTCTCTCTCTCAAGATAATATTATAAGTCTACTGGACTCGTATAAAAAATATCCATAGAACTCATATTAGCTTTGGAACTCGCTTCTTTGTTCAGACTTCTGACTCTTACTCTTCAACGAAGAGTTGCTCAAGTCTAGGAGAGTTAACGCCCACCTGAAAATTAGCCAAAACCCCACTAACCTTTGATAGATATCACTTAATTCACATTGGTTGTTCGCTAAATCAAACTGCTTACTTGTTGGTACCTCTCACAATTCTCTTCATGGAATTACAATGTTAGAAAAATGAAAAATCTTCTTATTTTAAATATTAAGGTGGGGGAGATATAAAACTTCTTATTGAAGTTTATGTTATTTTATCCATATGACACAATAAGTTAGAAGTCATTATAAGTTTCATGTCACTTCTACTAGTTCAAACTAATGCAAGCTTATATCACTTGTTATGATGGAAGTCGCCAATGACAAACCACTCCTTAAGAGTGGAAACAAAAGAGATGGACAAATCACCCCTTATGAGTAGATGGCGCACCCTTTAATGAGCAACCCAAAGTTGACAGACACCCCTTAAAATTGAAGCCGAAATAGGCTGTGCATCACCCTTCAAAGTAGAAGCTCAATTAATGAGAGCAGCCTTTGATGATACAGCATCGTTACAGGTGAAAAAGTTGAATATAACAATGTATCACCAGAAGCTGAAATGAATGATAGATAATACAGTGTATTAAAAGATTCATATCATAATAAATATTAAATAATACTGAAAAAAACATTAAATAGCAATTTTTGTAGCCGTTCATGGTGAATAAAATGCTTATTGTTCCCATGATTGTTAGGACACATTTATCGGAAGTGGAGTAATAGAAAAAGAGACATGTCACAACCAAGCTTTTCATTAATTATTTGAGCTGATCATTTGATGACTAATACAAAAAACATTTCAAAATTTATGTAGCATGATTTGAATGCTGAAATTACAATGAATTCATATTTTTTTACTAGGCCAACTATCATGCAGGTTCAGTTGAGTTGTTACAGAAGATAGGGAGTAAAATATTTCAAAACCTCCTCATACACAGGTTTCTTGAAGCCCGCTGCCTGTTAATATAACAATAGGCAAGTAGTATTAATTACATTTTAATCAGAATGAGGGTTAAAATCACTTACTAGTTCAATCACTTGTTGTGGAGTCATCCATGACCATTCACCGAACTCTGGCTTCTCAGTCCCATTCCCGCTAAGATTTATCTCCTCCTCCCTCCCAACGAATCTAAAACAGAACCTATATTTTATATTTGCATCCATCAGCAACTAACACATTCGATTGGTTAATCAGTTACATTTAATATTGCTATTTTGATTGGCTAAAATATTTCAGCACAGAAAATATGAAACCAACACAACCACTTACTGCTGCCTACTTAAATCCAAGGCAATAGCAAAAGAAATAAAAAAAAAAAATAAAGAAGAAAGCTAGCCAATTAGAATTGAAATTCTCATCAGTAGTCTGAAATTTTTTTTAAAACTGATGGTATGAAAAAGTTGTTAACATAGCTACAGAATAAAATGCATTATAAATTTCACCCAAATAGTGGTAGAGGTGCTAGCTTTCTCCTTACTTTATTCGGACATTTGTATAGAACTCATTCGAGTTTCTTTTTTTTTTTTAATGAAAAAGGATGATAGTTTAAAATATTAATGATTTCTAAGTTAGAATTTTTTTCATAAAAGCACAATATGAAAAGTCTATTTTTTTCAAGAAAATAAAAAATATTTAAATAAAAAGTAAATGCGGATAATAAAATAGTTTTAAATTCAAAATTCAAAAAATTGAAGATGACAATATAATAAACAATTTAAATTCAGTTCTATGAAAAACATGTAAAAAATTGTATTATTAATGCTTTATAAATATTAGATTTTCATTTTTAGTCTCTTGACTTCAGGATGAAATATTAAATATTAATGCTTCGAGATGAAATTAAATACCATATAATGCCGGAAATTTGCATTTTCAAGCAGAAGAACATTTTTAGTGTCTCATGATACCATACCACTTCTGTGCTTGACCTTTCCAATCTGATCCCCATTGCTTATTCAATTTCTCTCTAACTTCAGGAGGAAAATCATAGGTCAACCAATAAGGAACCTGTAAAAAATTGCAAATAAGGCACGGAAGGTTGTCAGTTTTATCACTAACGCACATGTAATTAAGAAAAGCTGAAATCTGGCATGATCAAAATTTCATATATGTAAATGTAGCCAAGACCAAATTAGTAAATATCATGATTCAGTATAAAATCCAAACAACAGTCAAAATGCATCTGATTGTACTTTGCGAAAGGTGCTAATACGAAAACCCCAGTTGTGCTATGTTGCACAGGACCCTATTTGTTTTCTTTTTTATCATGGATTTCCTAGGGTCCCTACTCCCTACTGAGAACGGGAGAATGAGAATCCTTTTTAGATATCCACAAAAGCACCACAACAACGCACATTGCATTACGAAGCAGATTATGTGCACACAAATCATCTAAATGATGAACATTACGATATTTGAAATTGCGTATCAAACCTCTGCAAGGATCTCTGCAGATGAAACTCCAGTTTCTTCCATTAGTTCTCTAATTGCAGCATCCCTGGGGTCTTCTCCTTCATCAACACCGCCCTGTAAATGCATTTAAAGAAGAATAACGGTAGATAAGAGTGAAATTAATTGTTTAAAAGCATCAGGCACAAAGACAGCACATTTACAAATCCAAAACTTTTTGGACATAAATATTCTGCAATTTTGAAAGAACATAAGCAGGCTATCCATCAGCAGTTCAGCTTTTTCTTTTTGAAATATAAGTTAGTAAAATGAATAAAATGATCTAATGATACAAAAGTCATTTTTTGGCCTTTCTATTCTAATCATATCATTAGAGGTATGAGTCTACTAGCTGAGATTGGCACGCATGTTTCAAGAACCACCTAAAAATATCATGAGCAAATTTATGGCATGTAAAAGTTCGATGGTAAGATCAAGAAATAATCCAATATTAAGGTAATCTAGCAGCTAATAAAGAAGCAAACCTAAAGAACAACTATAATAGCGAACAAGCTAACTGGGAATTAATTTTTAAGAGTACAACATATAAGGGAAAACACAAAACAAAATATTCCTTCCTCATCTCAGCCAATGACCAATCCATTTCTTTTAAGCATAATTAAAGTTCAACTGAAAGGGTTGAACACCAAAAAAAAAAAAAAAAAGCATACACCGTATTTGCGAAAAACACTAAATGAAGCAAGCGCAGAATACATGAATATAGTGCGATATAAAGAATAAACTTGATAAATTTTATATCTGAAAAGGTACGTGTTGAGAATCAATGAGTATGCATTCACATTAGCTAATAAACTTGAAAGGGCCTATCCAGAAAGGAGGAGACCATCATCAAAAAGCAAACCAATAGAGCTATAACTTGAAAATCTCATGGGACTGTTTGGTTGGAATACAAAGTGGTATAAATTTTTTTCAAATGCATTAATTTTGAAAATATTGGTGTTTGGTTATATGAAAAAGGAATGCGAAGTAAATGCAGTGTAAATCATTTGAGTGCATTTTTGAAGTAAACCAAACTCGCCCAATTTTGACAGAGAACCGTTTACCACATAAGCAAAGCTCAACCGCCGCCCACCACCGCCACCGCCTCTGCCACCCCTACCATCTGCCGCCACCCACATTCAGTCACCGCCGGCCATCATTAGCCACTACCACCACCACCGCCAACCAACACCATCTTTGGACTTGACATTACATTCATTACTTCTAACCAAACAAAAAAAATATACACCTACATTTACTTTATATTCATTCAAACAACTCCAAAGTATTTCATTTACAATGTATTCCTTTTAAAATGCATTCATTTTTTAGCCAACCAAACAACCCCTAAGAAACTAAAAGGAAGCCACCACCAAAGCCATACTGAAATCTCGCCAAACACCAAATCAATTTGCATTAAATAGATCATCTCAAGCAGATGAGATCAAAAATAATATCAGTGACAGGTCACAATAGCAATAGGATAAAGAAAATAATCTAAGCCCAAAAGCAAGAGTGAGCTTCAAATGTGTAAGTCCCAAAAAAAGGATTAGATGAGCTTTAAGAAAAACTAAGTGCATTTGATTACCTTAGAAAAATTATTATTCTTCCCACATCCCAAAAAAAAGATTAAATGGGCATAGAGGAAAATTGAGAGCTTTTGGTGGAAACCCCTTAAAGCTATCTTCATTGCAAGCATTACCCAACATTTAGCTATGGATAGGTCTTCAGTATATTTTCTGATATACACGATAGAGGGATAGAGATCAAACCATTTAGATTCATCAAAGACTGTCAGTTAGGCCAATTATCATTTCCCCATGCAACCACAATCATGTGTTGAAACATGGAGCCCTTAACAAATGAACAGGCTAACTATGAGAGCAAGAAAGGCAAAGCATGTGAATAAGACAAAGGAAAAATAACTATGATAAATTGAAAAAAATCATCTAGAATAACATAAAGAAGAGCCAATTATATCTTAATTATAGATAAGAGTTTGAAAGATAATGTTATAAAAATTAAAATAAGTTGAGACAAAATTATTGCTTTGAAGATTATTATTGATGCTAAGATTATTAATATTATAAGTGTTTATGCTCTTCAAATAGGTCTAAATGTGTTTAAAATTAAAAATTTCAAATGAATTAGAATAATTAATTCAAAAGATACATTTTGAAAAAAGAGTTTTTATTGGAGGAGATTTAAATGGATATGTTGGTAGAGAAGTAGAGGATTTTAAAAGTATTCATGGTGGCTATGAGTTTGGAGCGACTAATGAAAGGTGATAAGACTATATTAGATTTTGTTGTAGCTTATGATTTGTAATTGCTAATACCTTATTTAAAAAAAATATGAACATCACATCACTTATAAAAAAGGATAAAATAAAACTTAGATTGATTATTTTCTTATAAAAAAATATATCGTTTAGATTGTAAAGTTATTCCGAGTGAAAGTTTGTGTACCAACATCGCTTATTAGTTTTAAATTTTAAGATGAATATGTAGAATATAGAAAATATAGTAAAACGTTGTTCTAAGATTAGATTGGGGCATTTAAAGAACACTAACAAAAGTATTTTTGAGAATAGGATTCGAAATCTTAGGATTTTGTCTGTGCATGAGGAAGCAAAAGTTATGTGAGAAAAAGTAGCCAGTAATATTAAGAATATTGCAAAAAATGTGCTTGGAGTTTCAAAAGAAAAAGTCCTAATGATAAAAATAATTGGTGGTTGAATCAAAATGTGCAAGAAAAGATCAATAATAAGAAGCTTTGTTATTATGATTGATTTAGATGTAAAAACTCTGAAAATTGAAAAAGATATAAAGGCGCTTCTAAGGTGTCTAAGAAAGCAATCTGCGATGCAAAGATTTTATCTTTTGAGAATTTATATAATAGATTAGATTCTAAAGAGGGCGAAAGATATATATAAGTTAGCCAAAAAAAAAGATAATAGTAAGGATTTAGTTCAAGTGAAGTGCATTAAGAATAGTAATTGGTCTGCTGATGACCTCTTTGAGCTTAGAAACAAAGTACATGAACTCAATGTTACTTTGAGAAGACTCTCTACTTGGTGGAATCAAAGGGCTAAGGCTAGGTGGCATGAGGAAGGTTGATGCAATCAAAAATTTGGGAGAGAGACCCAAATTTTTTATCACAAAAAAGAAACTCTTTCTAGAGAATAAAAGATTATGATGCAATCAAAAATTTGGGAGAGAGACCCAATTTTTTTATCACAAAAAAGAAACTCTTTCTAGAAAATAAAAGATTACAAGAACTCACAAAAACTAGACAAATTAGACAAAACAAACTTTTATATCATATAAAGACTTACAAACTTTTGACTCTTACAAACGACTCAAACAAACGACTCAAACAAAACACCTAAAGTTGCTTTCATCCATTAGAAGAAGGATACAGGTGGAGTGTAAACTTGCGGATAGAAGAAAGAGATTAGGAGTCGAGACGAAGGTTGGAAAGAGCCCGCAGGATTTTCGAAAGGGATGAGAAAGAAGCTTAGAAAGAGCCCGCAGGATTTCCAAAGCCAAAAAACCACTCAGGTTTTGTCTCAAAAATCACATTATCACACCTTTTTTTAACAGCCACGAAAAAATCTACTAATACTATAGGCATAAGTAGGAGAATGCCAAAAGCCACGCTTGTTAGAAGTTCACAACATCCAAGCACTGTTATTTTCATAGATTTCCAAGAGCCATTTGAAAACAGACCAGCTATTTCGGAAAAACAGCCCAGCATAATTCTGTTACGGGGAATCAATAGGTAACTCACGGCCCAAAAGGAGCCAAATCTCGGAAAGCAAAGCACCGCAGAATCAAAGCAGCAAACAACGGAAAAGCAGCACACAGATCGGGAACAAAGGCTGGCTGAACTCTCCCAGGAAAATCAAATACTCCCATGAATAATCTCACAATAGAAATCAGCCCATTAAAATAACAACCACGGGTTTCCTCCAAGAGAACAAGAAAAAGGGGAAGGGAAGGGACAAGGAAATGAGAAGAAAAAAGGGGATAAGAGAGAATAATCAATTTTAAGAAATAATGAAGCTGGTGCATTTTAGGTGTGCAAGTAATGGAACGTAGTATAAATACAGCTTCAATCAATGAGCTAATTTTTTACTAGACATTAATGAGTTATAGAGAGTCAAAAATCAATATTTATGATTTGATTGACCGCCCCCCCTCCCCCCCTTGCTACATCAAAATCCCCTACTTGAAGAACTCATCTCCGATGAGTTGCTTTTGTTTTCTTCCGAGGTAGCGAGACTGAGCATCCAATTCTTGAACTTTGCTTCATATTTCTTCAGGATCTCTTCTTGTTCTTGCATGAACTGATCTTGCAAACGTTGCTTCTTCTTCATGTAATCTTTCTGTACACAAATGCATCCATGACTGTATTTGTATAGCTCGTATTCCAAAGGAGATTTGATGAATCGGAATCCAAATCGTTCATCGAATCTTGATCTTCAGAATTTTCTTGATAGTTTTCTCCTGCGTTTTTGTCTTTTTTCATTTTTTTGACTACCCAAAAATTCAATCTAAACTTAGACTCAATAGACTCATAACAACGACAAACTTATAACAAGACTTGACTTGACAAACTCATAAGACTCAAATTTGACAAACTAAAAACAAAACCTAGGACTAACCTAAACTTGCTCTGATACAAATTCATGCAATCAAAAATTTGGGAGAGAGACCCAAATTTTTTATCACAAAAAAGAAAACTCTTTCTAGAGAATAAAAGATTATGAATGCATATCAAAAATTTGGGAAAGAGACCAAATTTTTGATCACAAAAAAGAAACTCTTTCTAGAGAATAAAAGATACAAGAACTCCACAAAAAACTAGACAAATTAGACAAACAAACTTTTATATCATATAAAGACAATACAAACTTTTGACTCTTACAAACGACTCAAAAACGACTCAAACAAAACACCTAAAGTTGCTTTCATCCATTAGAAGAAGGATACAGGTGGATGTAAACTTGCGATAGAAGAAAGATTAGGAGTCGAGACGAAGATTGGAAAGAGCGCAGGATTTCCGGAGGGGAT